GCTGTTTCAAAAGCCCCAGAGGGGACCCTTCTGTAGAGGAACCTCCTCCGGACATAGCGGTGCAGCCGCCCAGAGCAGAGCCTCTCCCGGTGAAGCAGGCAGGGCCCCAGCCCAGGGCTCCATCCAGGTCCCCACCCCCATGCAGCCCTGGGTCCGTGTGCAGAACCTGGGGCTCCACAGAGGCCAGACCAGAAACCTCGGAGCCAGTCCTAGACCTGCGGGCTGGAAATGGAGAAACTGAGGCCAGGAGGGGGTGGGCCTGGGATTAGGCCCCAGGCACCTGAACCCCCGACTCAGAGCTCAGAATCCAGTCACCCTGCACTGCAGTCCCGAGAGGCCATAATTGGGGTCCAGACTGCCCCCGGAGAGCTGGGAGGTCCAGGGGTCTTAAGATGAGGATGGGACTGGGTGACCCCTTAGGGCAGTGATGGCGAACCTATGACACGCGAACTCATTTTTTGGTTGATTTTTCTTTGTGGAATGGCATTTAAATATATAAAATAAATATCAAAAATATAAGTCTTTGTTTTACTATGGTTGCAAATATCAAAAAATTTCTATATGTGACACGGCACCAAAGTTCAGTTAGGGTTTTTCAGAATGCTGACACGCCGGGCTCAAAAGGTTCGCCATCACTGCCTTAGGGTTTCTGGGCCTCAATGTCACAGGGATGCATTGCAAGAGTTGTGGTCCCAGGTCCCACCCAGAGTGCTCTCTCTCTCTCTCTCTCTCTCTCTCTCTCTCTCTCTCTCTCTCTATCTCTCTATCTAATATATCTATATATATGCTCTTGGTCTCTCTCTCTCTCTCTCTCTCTCTCTGGGTCTAAAGGAGGGTCCTTGGTGGGAACGGTCCTGCCTCAGACCTGAGGATGCAACCACAGTGAGGGGTGGGGGCTGGGAGGGGTTTGCAGCTGTGCCCACATGATCCCCGGAAGTTGCCTCCACCTCAGCACACCTGCTGACACACCTGCCCCCGCAGGAGAGCAAGACAGAGCCCCTCCAGAACACGCGCGTCCTGTCGCTGCCGCCTCTGGAGTCCTCCACCAGGTACCAGGCGAGAGTGAGGGTCAAGCCCTACAAAGGCTACAGCGGGATCTGGAGCGAGTGGAGCGAGGAGAGCTCCTGGGACACTGAGTGGGGTATGTCTCCCCGCCCCCCACACACCCCCTCCCTTCCCGCTACAGCCCAGCTGGGGTGAGGGCAGGGGCGATGTAGACACAGAGGTGTGACTGCACCCACCGAGCATCCTTTCCTCCCAGGGGACACTAGTCATTGAAAAATGACGCCTGCTGTACAACACAGACTGCGGATGAGGCCTTGAGAGCAGAGAAGAGCAGGTCTCATCATCATGCCTCCCTCACATGGGACCTTAGTCCTCTGTTAATATGACCCATGGCTTCATTAGCCTTTGTGTCCGCCACTAACCAGTGACCACTCGGCACAAAATTCTAGTTCCCACCCACAAACATCAGGGCCTCCGGACAGAGGTCTGAGCTAGGAAGGTTTGGGTCTGATTTCCTATCGTCCCCATCTCCCTGCTACTTTCACTCGTCCTCAGTTTTCACCTGAGCCTCCAGCTTTTCCCTCCCGGATGCTAATGCTCCTTTTTCTCTCCTGGCTGCCGGAAGTGCTGCCCACGTGGGGCCTGGCCCTCGTCCTAGTCTTCACCACCCTGGCCTTACTCCTGGCCCTGCGTCTCTGTGGCACGTACGGGTACAGGTAAGGGGACTCCATGATGAGTGGGGGTGGGCGTACCCGGGACCCTAGGGGGGCCACAGGGATCCCACAGCGGACCCCTCCAGTCCCTACTCTGCCACCCACTCCCTGGGGGTTTCTGGGCAAATCTCACCCTCTCCTGGGGCCTCAGTTTCCCCCCGTATCTGAGCATGGGCAGCTGCCGAGGTCTCCGGTGGCTGTCACCTCCCTGCTGTCTTTCCAGGTTGACCCACAAGTGGGAGGAGAAAATCCCCAACCCCAGTAAAAGCCAACTGTTCCAGGTAGGACCTGCTGCCGGCGGCTGTGGTGGGAAAGGCTCCTCTGCCCTGTGCCCTGTGCCCATGTCCCTGTGCCCATGTCCTCCTCCCCTTCCTGGGGGCGTGGAGAGTGAGGCACAGGTGGCCAGGGGAGGGGCCGGGAGGCTCTGAGAGCAAGGCCCGCACCTGTGAGTTCATCCCTGCAGACCCCCGGCCTCGCAGTGCACAGGGGCCCTGCCGTCAGGAGCCCCGTGGGGCAGGAGGGGGTTGAGGGTGGAGATGCCAGGAGTGCACAGCTGGGCTCAGGAAGGGGGCGGTGGGAGGCAAGATGGCTCTCCGAGGACAGGACAGCAGGATCCGGGTGGCCCGGGGGAAAGGTCACTGTAGGCAGAGGCAGGTGGGGATGAGACAGGGACACTCCACGAAGGACTGAGGAGGGTGGGCCTTGAGGCTGGGTGCATCACTGGAGGCCGAGGGGACCACAGAGGGAGCGAGGGTGGGGAGCGTCTCGAGGCCAATGTGGGAAGACTAGGCGGGGAGTATGGAGGCAGCCACACCCCAATAAGCAGGCTCACCAGAGCAGGGTCCCTGTCCTCAGTGCTGGAGTGGAGGACCCCAGGAAGTCCCAGCCCCTCTCTGGCCGCCCCTCCTGGTGTCAGAGGCTGTGTCTGGTCCTGACCATGCTGAGCTACCCCCCTTTTCCGGGGACTCGCTGAATCCCCTGCCGCCCCCACAGCCCTCCCTCCACCAACACCAGCCCGCGGTCCCACACCCACAGGCTCAAACGCCCTCTCTTCCAGGACGTGAGTGCGGGGCGCTGGCCCCCAGGCGGCATGTCGGCCCTCACCAGCAGGAGCCCCGCACACAAGGGGCCATGGGGCAGCCGCTTCCCTGGGCTGGAGGGGTGAGTGCCTGGGCCTGGGGTCCCTGGGAGGCAGGAGGGTGGACCCACCGTGCACGGGGGAGGTCAGAGGAGGTGGCCTCTGGGCTGAGGCTCAGCATGGAGAGGCCGAAGGAGGCAGTTGGCACTAGAGCAGCGGTTCTCAACCTTCTGGCCCTTTACATACAGTTCCTCATGTTGTGACCCAACCATAAAACTATTTTCGTTGCGACTTCATAACTGTCATGTTGCTGCTGCTATGAATCGTCATGTAAATATCTGATATGCAGGATGGTCTTAGGCGACCCCTGTGAAAGGGCCGTTCGACCGCCAAAGGGGTCGCGACCCACAGGTTGAGAACCCCTGCTCTAGAGCAAGGAGCATCCCAGTGGGGCAGCTGGATAACTTCCTGGTTCCCAGCTTAGCGAGAGCCAGAGCTCAGGTTTGACAGGTGACCTCTCTGTGCCTGGGGACAGCCCGCACTGCCTCAAGCAGAGGGTGAGAGGGACACACCGGGGAGAGGACCTGCAGCAAGAGTGCGGAGGCTGGAGGGCCAGGCGCACAGGGAGGTGGAGCACGGCCGGTTCCCTGCTCTGGGGTCCCCGCCCACCTCGCCTCGCCCCCTCTGGGTTCTCTGTGAGCCCTGCTGGTCCTAGCCCCCACCCCCAGCCCCTCCTGCCTGAGTTGAGGTGTCTGCCCAGGGTGTCCCAACATCTCACACCTGCTCTCCCCACAGGGTGTTCCCTGAAGACCGCATGCACAGCGAGGTGTCACCTCTCACCGTGGAGGACCCTAAAAATGCTTACGACTCACCATCGGAGCCTGACACGACTCCGGCCGCCTCGGACCTGCCCGCGGAGCTGTCCCCAAGCCCCGCGCCCTGCCTGTCAGCCCCCTCTGGCAGCCCTGAGAGCCAGGGTTCCGGCTTCCACTTCAACGGCCCCTACCTGGGGCCGCCCCACAGCCACTCCCTGCCGGACCTCCTGGGCCAGGAGGAGGCCCCACAGATGGTGGGGAGCCAGAAGCCTCTGCCCGCAGGGTCCCTGGAGTACCTGTGCCTGCCCCAAGGGGAGCAGGTGCAGCTGGTCCCACTGGCCCAGGTGATGGGACAGGGCCAGGCCAGGGGTGTAGAGAGGAGATCCTGCGGGGGCGCGGAGGGGAGCCCCTCCGTGGAGACTGGGGCGGGCCCTGTTCCTCCCGCTCCTGGGCTGCTGGTGGGTGGTCAGGGCCTGAAGGACAGACCCACAGCTGTGTCTCCTGTGTCCGGGGGCCCTGCGGACAGCATCATGGCCTCTGGTTATGTCACCACCACAGACCTGGCACTCGCCTTACCCACAGAGGCACCATCTGCCTCCCGGGTCCCTCCCCCAGGCCTCCCCTCAGAGCAGAACCACAGCCTCAGTCCCAGGCTGGCACGTGGGCCCCTGGAAGGCCCCGCCCCCGTGAAACCAGCGATTGACGGCTATGTGGAGCTCCCTTCCACCATGGGCCAGTCCCCTAAGTCCCCTCTGGGCAGCCCTGCCCCTCCTGTAGCCAGCGGCCACGTCCTGAGCCCAAGGGAGCCCCGGGTCGATGTGGCCCCAGTCTCCCCGCACCCCGAGGGGCTCCTGGTCCTGCAGCAGGTGGGAGACTATTGCTTCCTCCCCGGCGTGGGGTCTGGCCCCTTGTCCCCCCAGAGTAAGTCCTCTTCTCCCGGACCCTGTCCTGAGATCAGGGACCTGGACCAGGGCTTCCCGGCCAAGAAGCCTTCCTGTCCGGCCATCCCCCAGGTGCCGGCCATTCAGCTCTTCAAGGCCCTGAAGCAGCAGGACTACCTGTCGCTGCCCCCCTGGGAGGTCAGCAGGCCTGGGGAGGTGTGCTGAGACCCTGCGGGCCTGGGGGTCACATGGGGGAGAGGGCCTGCCTTCCTTCCTGCCCTGCCTTTCTCCCGCCAGCCTCTGTGTGTTCCACACTCATTTCTGCAAAGCCAAGGACAGGGGGCCAGGAAAACGCGTGAACTGCCCATCTTCTCCCTTGACCTTGAGCAAGGTCAAGCCTCTCTGTCTCTCTTCCTCCTCCCTCCCTGCCCCACCCTGCCACCACCCCTCCCCCTTCTCACAGACACACACACACACACACACATGCTTTTCCTTCAAGTTCACGGACTTTTAGGTTCTGAATTGTTAGAACGTTCCACACTTTCTCGTTCCATTTGCCTCGTTTTCTCTGTTACAAGGTTTCCCTGCTTGGGCTCGTTCCTTCGTTCTCTTCTCCCTGGTTTGTTATTAGAGCGAGTTTGAGGTCCCAGCGCGGCCTGTCCGGAGATGCCATGTCTCGGTCAGAGCCTGTGCTGATGCCGCCGTGTCTGGCTGTGTTGGGGGACCTGTGCCTGTAGCCTGTTCCAGGG